GCTGCAGGAGAAGAGGCGGCGGACGTCTCTAGAATGCTACGCGCGGCAAGAATGGGCAGCTGTCAAGCTACAATCCTGGTTCCGCATGTGGTGCATCCGCCTTCGTTACTGCCGTTTGCTCCACGCTGTCCGCATCATTCAGGTCTATTGGCGCTGGCATAGCTGCCATACCCGTGGCTTTATTCAGGGCCGTTACGACCTCAAAGAAAACCAACTGAATCTTCAACTTGAAATCTCTTTGGGCTCGCAAGCTTGTAGTGTACAACAGTACATACCCCTTCCAATACAGGAATGACCAGGTCTGCTATATGTGTCCCCAGCTCTTTGTCAGACATACTTCAAGGAGGTCATTGAGCTAATGATGGCAAATACTTGGCATCTCATAAATCAGCTCTAAGGAAGTGGCAGGGGTTGCCTGGGGTCCAGTGTGGAGGATTCTGAGAGTCTGGTGCTCTATGAGCAGGGCCTGTGATTGATTAGCAATGTCTGCCATGGGTAGGAGAGTTGGGGTTGCAAGGCCACCAAGTCTTCCAACTCCAGGGAGATTCTTTCACAGTGTGGTCTATGTAAATGGTGCCCTGATGTAGTTGTGCAACGTGAAGTCCTGTGTCATCTTTTGCTCTTTCCCCCAAAGTCTTTAAAAAATACTATTTAAAAATTGTGGTAAATACACATAACATAAAATTTACCATTTTAACCATTTTTGAGTAAACAGCTCAGTAAAATTAAGCATATTCAAATTGTTGTGCAGCTATCGCCTCCATCCATCTCCAGAACTTCATTTATCTTGCAAAATTGAAACTCTGTACACATTGAACAATAATTCTTCATTCTCCCCTTCCCCAGCCTCTGGCAACCACTATTCTATTTTGTCTCTATGAATTCGATTACTCTAAATGCCTTATATGAGTGGAATCATACAATATTTGTCCTTTTATGACTGACTTATTTCACTTAACATAAGGTCTTCAAGGTTTAGTTGTTTTAGAGTATTTTTACATTAAGTCCACCACCTTGTCTTTCTCAGGGACAGTTTCTGTTGATTTACTTTTTTCCTTTGAATGGGCCATAATTTTCCTCTTTCTTTGTATGCTTTGTAATTTTTTTGTTGTTGTTGAAGATTGAACATTTGAATCTCATAATGTGGTTATTCTAGAGGTCAATTTTTCACTCTTTCCCTGATTTTGCTGTTTTTGCTGTTGTTGTTGGTTCGTTGTAGGGTGTCTCTGTGCTGGGGATCAGTATAGGTGTAAACTTAAGGTCTTCTCTGGTCTTTTCTGGGCCTCCACCTTTCCCTGGGCATACATGGTGACTTTTAAAATTTCCTTGTATATGTGGTTACTTTTTTTTTTTTTTTTTTGCGGTACGCAGGCCTCTCACTGTTGTGGCCTCTCCCGTTGCAGAGCACAGGCTCCGGACGCACAGGCTCAGAGGCCATGGCTCACGGGCCCAGCCGCTCCGTGGCATGTGGGAATCTTCCTGGACCGTGGCACGAACCTGTGTCCCCTGCATCGGCAGGCGGACTCTCAACCACTGCGCCACCAGGGAAGCCCTATGTGGTTACTTTTAAGTGTCCTAGTCCTTAAGGGTCTGGCTCCCAAAAAGGGAAAAAGAGAAAATGGGTGGGGGAGGAAGGAGAGGTCCCATCTCTTTAAATCCCCTGTAAGCCACTTCAGCTGGAAGGGGAGGGTGTTGCAACAACTGTGGTGGGGATTGCAACAATGGCCCCTGTCTCTGTTTCTGCACCTCTGTGATCACAAGTAGTCATCAGCAAAATGAGCACAGATCCCTAATATTTGAAGGACAGATTCTTTATTGCTCACCTTGGATTCTGCAAGCTTCATACAAATTTCTCCAGAACTCATTCACGGATGCCTGGAATAGCGCTGGGGGCTAGGGTGTCAGGGATGGATAGCCAGTACCATAAAAGCTGAAATTAACCAAAATTAATGACAGTTTACTGTCCAAGTTTCTGGAATGATGCCTTCAATTAGACCCTAAAGACTCTACCAATAAACTGTTTGAACTAATAAACAAATTCAGTAAAGTTGCAGGATACAAAATCAACATACAAAAATCAGTTGCATTTCTATATAATAAAAATAACCTATCTGAAAAAAGATATTTTAAAAAGTCTCATTTACAACAGCATCAAAAACAATAAAATACCTAGGAATAAATTTAACCAAGGAGGTGAAAGATCTATACATTGAAAACTAAAGAAATAGAAGAAGATACAAATAAATGGAAAGATATCCCATGTTCAGGGTTCAGAAGAGTTAACACTGTTAAAATAGCCTTACCAGCCAAAGCAATCTATAGATTCAGTGTAATCCCTATCGTAATTCCAATGGCATTTTTCACAGAAATAGAAAAATTCCTAAAATTTGTATATAACTGTAAAAGACCCTAAATACCCAAAGTATTCTTGAGAAAAAAAGAACAAAGCTGGAGGAATCACACTTCCTGATTACAAAATATATTACAAAGCTATAGTAATCAGAACAGTATGGAACTGACATTAAAAACAGACACAGACTAACTGGACAGAATTGAGAGCCCAGTAATAAACACATACATATATGTAGGGTGAAGTAATATTTGACAAGGGAGCCAAGAATATACAATTGGTAAAGAATGGTCTCTTCAATAACTGGTGGGAAAACTATATCCACATGCAAAAGAATGAAATTGGACACTTCCCTTACACCATATGCAAAAATCAACTCAAAGTGGATCAAAGACTTAAGTGCAAGACCTAAAACCACAAAACTCCTAGAAGAAAACAGGGGAAATACTGCTTGACATTGGTCTTGGCAGTGATTTTTTTGGATATGACCTCAAAAGCACAGGCAACAAAAGCAAAAATAAACAAGTGAGACTACAGCAAATTAAAAACTTCTGCACAGCAAAGGAAACAATCAGCAATATAAAAAAGCACCCTGCGGCACAAGAGAAAATATTTGTAAAACGTGTGTCTGATAAGGGGTTAATTGCCAAAATATACCAGGAACTCATATAATCCAATAATGAAGAAAAACAATAACAACAAAAACAAAACCAAACCTAATTAAAAAATGGCCAGTGACCTGAATAGACATTTTTCCAAAGAATACATACAAATGGCCAACAGGTAGATGAAAAAATTACTCAACACCACTAATAATGGAAATGCAAGTCAAAACCACATGTGATATAACCTCACACCCGTTAGAATGGCTATTATCAAAAGACAAATGATAACAAGTGTTGGCGAGGGTGTGGAGATAAGGGAATCCTTGTATACACTGCTGGTGGGATATAAGTTGGTACAATCATTATGTTAATCAGTATGGAGGTTCCTCAATACATTCAAAATAAAACTACCATATGATCTAGCAATCCTACTTCTGGGTATATATCCAAAGGAAATAAAATCACTTTATCAAAGAAATATCTGCATTCTCATGTTTACTGTAGCATTATTCATAATAGCCAAGCTATGGAAATACCCTCTTTCTATCAAAGGACGAATGGATACACATATAAAATGAAATATTTTTCAGCCATAAAAAGAGAAAGAAATCCTTACATTTGTGACAACATAGATGAACCTGGAGGACCTTATGGAGGACATAAGTAAAATAAGCCCAACAGAGAAAGACAAATACTGTACAATCTCACAAAGTGGAATCTAACAGAGTTGAACAGTGGTTACTAGGGGCTGGGAGGTGCGGAAAATGGGGGGCTGTTTATTAAATGGTAAAAACTTTCAGTTATATGATAAGTTTGGGGATCTAACGGACAGCATGGTGAATATAATAATAATATTGAACTGTATACTTGAAATTTGCTGAGAGTGGTTTTTAAGGGTTCTTGTTTTAAAGAAAAGGTAACTGTGAGGTAATGGATGCGTTAACTTGATTGTGGTAATCATTTCACAATGTATACATATATCAAACCATCATGTTGTACATCTTAAATATATACAATTTTTATTTGTAATTATACCTCAATAAAACTGGAAAAATGATAAAAATATATTCTAGATACAAGTTCATCAAATATGTGGTTTGCAAATATTTTCTCCTGTCACCCAACTTGTCTTTTCATTCTCTTAACAGCGTCTTTCATAGAGCAAAAGTTTTAAATTTGACCAAGTCTAATGTATCAATTTTCCTTTTATGGATTGTATGTTTGCAGTCAAGTCTAAGAACTTTTTGCCTAGACTTTCTCCCATTCCCCCCACTATAGATCTGGCAGCCATTAAAAGCATAAGGGAACAGAGAAATGCAAATCAAAACTACAAGGAGGTATCACCTCACACCAATCAGAATGGCCATCATCAGAAAATCTACAAACAACAAACGCTGCAGAGGGTGTGGAGAAAAGGGAACCCTCTTGCACTGTTGGTGGGAATGTAAATTGATACAGCCACTATGGAGAACAGTATGGAGGTTCCTTAAAAAACTAAAAATAGAATTACCATATGACCCTGTAATCCCACTACTGGGCATATACCCAGAGAAAACCATAATTCAAAAAGAGTCATGTACACAATGTTCATTGCAGCACTATTTACAATAGCCAGGCCATGGAAGCAACCTAAATGCCCATCAACAGACGAATGGATAAAGAAGATGTGGTACATTTATACAATGGAATATTACTCAGCCATAAAAAGGAACGAAATTGGGTCATTTGTAGAGACGTTGATGGACATAGAGACTGTCATACAGAGTGAAGTAAGTCAGGAAGAGAAAAACAAATATCGTATATTAACGCATATATGTGGAATCTAGAAAAATGTTACAGATGAACTGGTTTGCAAGGCAGAAATAGAGACAAAGATGTACAGAACAAATGTATGGAACCAAGGGGGGAAATTGGGGTGGTGGTGGTGGTGGTGGTGGGATGAACTGGGAGATTGGGATTGACATATATACAGTAAAATGTATAAAATGGATAACTAATAAAAACCTGCTGTATTAAAAAAATAAAATAAAATATTAAAAAAAGCATAAGGAAACACACCATGAGTAACTTTATTCTCATAAATTCAACAACTTAAAAGAAATTAATCAACTGTTTGAAAGTTACACAATACCAACCCAATCAGATGAAACAGATACCTGAATAGTCCCTTGGCCATTAAAGAAATTGAATTTGTAATTTAAAAGTTCTCTAAAAAGAGATCTCCAGGCCCAGATGGCTTCACTAAAGAATTTTTACAAAATATTTAAAGAAGAATTTTCACACCAATTTTACATAATGTCTTCCAGGAAACAGAAAAGGAGAGAATGCTCCCAATTTTTATGAGGTCAGTATTACCTTGATATCAAAATCAGACAAAGGGAATTTTTTAAAAAGTGTACATTAGTACCTCTCAGGAACGTAGAGGTAAAAATCAAACCCAACAAGGTACAAAAGAAATTATACACCAGCACCAAGTATAAATTTATCCCAGGTAAGCAAGGCTACTTCAAACATTCAAAAATTAATCAATCCACCATATCAACAGGCTAAAGAAGAAAAATCATATGACTATATATAGTCAGAAACAGAAAAACCATTTGACAAAATCCAACACCCATTCATGATAAAAACGAAACTCTTAGCAAGTTAGGAATAGAGGGAACTACCAAACTTTAACTTGATAAAGAGAATCCACATCTAACATCATACTTTTATTGGTTCTTGGTATGATGAGTGATTTTCTATTGTATGCTGGACATTTTGGATATTATATTAGGAGGCTCTCAAGGCCATTTAAATCTTCTATTCTAGAAGGCAGCATCCTATTTAGGTTTAGTATGTAGATGCTGGCCTACTTTTGTGGGCCCTGTTTCCAATGAGAATTTTCTTTTCTGGGCTCTTTCAATGCAATTCTGGTCTGCTTTATTCTTTTGGTTCCACTGGATCCCTTCTGGTGCCACCTACAAGGTAGAAGCCATTTTCCTGGGTTCCCTCTTGCCATTAGATGGAGGGTTTAGGATGTTGGACTTCTGAGGTAGAGAGCAATATGCTGGCCTGTTCACTGGCCACCTGGTGTCAGTGGGTGTCCCACCCGGTCTCTGCTGGTGCCACTGGAGGAGAGAAGAGCTACCTGGACTGCATTTTGCTGTTGGGTGGAGGGACAGGAAGTTCCTGTTCTGGATCTTCTTCTGTGGCTGGCTGGATGGCCAGGTGCTGCTAGGTCTGGATTGCCTCTGCCACTGACTGGAAGGCCAGGAGATACTAGGCTTGTTGGAGCTGAGGTACAGGAGGATCCCCTCTCTCCTCCCATTTAGTTTGAGGTAGGAGATGGGTTGATCTGCTCAGGTTCTGCTGTTGCTGCTGTGGGTAGATCAAGCCTGCTTCTGTTAGCAGATGATAAATGAAGTGTGTTGGCCCACATGGGTTCTGCTTTTACTGCTGCTGAGGACAGACTGGGTCACCACTGCTAATGGATGTGGGGTGTGGAGTGGGTGGATAAGCCTGGGTTCCACTGTTGCTGCTGTTGTGAGCAGATCATGCCTGTTGCTGCCAGTGCATGTGGGGCATGGGATGGGTTGGCTTATAAGAGTACTGTAGGCAATTCAGTCTGCTGTTGCCACTAGGCGTGGGTCTCCCTGCTTAGTCTCTGCTGGGCTTCCCCTTCTTTTGACCAGAGAGAGCATGCTTTTCTTGTTTTGTTTGTTTTGTTTAGCTTTCCCTATGCCTGTTGTTGGTTTTAGGTTGCAGACATATCTGGTGTCCAGTCTGAGATGTATGACAGATAAAACAAGAATTCATCTAGGTGTACCTTTTAAAATCTTGAGACTCCTAGATGATCCGCCATCTCTCCATATTTCAGAGTCCTTTTATGATTGTTGAATTATTTTCAGAGTATTTAGTTTGTATTTAGAGGGGAGGAGAAGGGAAAATTAGTTGACACCATCTTGTACCAAAATTGGAAGCTCTCACTCCTAGGTTTTTAACCAAATAAAGTGCAAAACTTAGGTTCACACAAAAAAACACACATATACATAGCAGATTAATTTGTAATCACCCCAAACTGGAAACAACTCCAAGACCCTTCAACTGGTAAAAATTTCTGATAACATCCATACAATGGAATACCACTCAGTAATTAAAACAAATGAGTACCCACAACACCACAGGTCTCAGACACATTATGCTAAATGAAAGAAGCCAGATTCAAAAGGCTACAAATTATTATTCCTTCTACATGACATTCTGGAAAAGGGAAAACAATTCGTACATATTACAGACCAGTGGTTGCTAGGGTTTGGTGGAGAGTAGTGGGTGACCACAAAGGGGCACAGGGGAATTCTACTTTATGTATCTCGAAGCTCAGTTATTAGGTACATATATATTCTATGATATTAAGATATATGATATTACATATATATTCTATGAATTATTGTGACTGTTGATAGATATGATAATATTGAGGTTATATTTTTACAAAGGTCTCATCTATTAAAGATATATATTAAAGTACTGTGGATTAAGTGGTATGATTTTTGTTGTTTGCTTTTAAAAAATTATGTATTTCAATAAGAAGGGAGTAATTAACTCTGTAGCCTAATGTAGAGAGAATGCATAAGAACAGAGAAATAACCATTGGATTTGGTCAGTTGCAATGTTGGTGATGTTGATGAGTGCAGTGTCAGTGAAGTAAGAGGGGTAGAAGGCTGATTGGAATGGGCTGAAGAGAAAATAGTAGGAACAGAAGTGGAAACAGTGACGGCATGATTTGCTATGAGGAGAAACAGAGAACTGGAAAAGAAACTGATTAAGATCATATTTTTTAAAGATGGAAGAGGTAGACATTGATAATTTGGATAGTGGGGTTATGAATGCAGGATCAAACACCTTGAGATGGCAGCAGGATAATGGAGGAGTTAACCTTTGATGGGATCAAAGACCCTTCATTTATTTCACTTGGAGGGAAGGCAGCAAGTGTGGTCCAGATGGAGCTGGGATGGAGAATGAGGTGGTAGGAAGATGGAGGTCCAGTCTGCTCCCATTTCTTCTGTTAAGTGTGTGGTGACATATATCATCATTATGGAGTTCAAGGGGAGAAGTAGAATTGGGCATTTGGAGAGGAAGTGGTATGAATTATTCAATTCAGAAAAAAGAAATGCAAACACACCAGATAAATTTATTGGGAAATTTGTCCAATGGAGATTTGCAGTCATGAATATGAACCGAGACCATGCCTCATGGGTGTTTTGCTCTAGCCATGCCACTCTTCTGCAGGCACAGAGCAGGTAGATAATTAAGTTCATCCCACATACATTTGCAGAGAGAGGACCAAGGGAATTCAAGTTGTTCAGGAGAGAGATTACAATAATTAAGTATAGAATCTGAACTGGGTAAAGAGAGATACAAGGGTTTGTCAGGGTGATGGCTGTAAAAAAAATTGGTAGGGTCAATAGATTGGAAGACTTTATCACATCTGAAGAAACATTCTATTAGGGGTATTTGAAAGGTGAACTGGAAGGAGAGAATAAAGTAAAAAGAGAATGAAACTCCAGAAAAAGCAATTTGGGCAACAGTACACTGATTGGTTAATGGTAAGGTCCAGAGCCACACTATTCAATGGAATAGGCACTAGCCATATGTGGCTATTTAAATATAAATTAATTTAAATAAAATTTAAAAGTCAATTCTTTAGTTGCACCAGGGACATTTCAAGTGCTCCACAGCCATGTGTGGCTAGTGGCTACCACACTGGACAGCACTGATACAGAACATTTCCATCATCACAGAAATTGCTACTGAGTATAGCATTGCTTTAGTATGACCATGGGAGTGAGAATGGACACAAGAGTAGGGATGGGGGTAATATCAGGGGAAGCCCTGTTTGCTACACAGCCCTCAGGGAGAGGAGTTCTGGTAAGGGAATTGTGAAGATGGAGTTGAAGTGCCATGAACTCCTGTTTTCTACCAGTCTCCAGGGTCATCACCTGCTCGTCAGCATGCCCAGTCACATCTATCACTAAGGCCAGCCTCCTGTCCTTTACCTGGGGCTGCACTGCACTTCTACCAGAAGAGTCAGCCACATGCTGACCTTTTCACTAGGTGATTGCCAAAGATACCTTGTCTGAGGCATCTGAGATCCCAGTCAATCCCCAACTACAGGCGGACAGAGAAGACCCTCACTGTCTGTTCTCATGTGCAGAGGTACCCAAAGTCTTCAGGAAGATGTAGCTCACCTGTCTCGCAGATTCCTGGCGAGAAGAAAGGAATGGGGCTGGGGATGGGAGCTGGGACTTCTGGCTCTGTTATATTAGACTAGGACCTTGGTTTCTGTTTTGACAACTAAGTAAGTAGCATATGGAATTGTCAGTCCAGAACAGGGTTCATGGGCACAAGGGAAAAACCTCACTAAAGTTCTTTCCCAGGGAGAAGAGGAGGCAGCATGGCTTAAGTCCTAAAATTTCCATTAGCTGGTGGGGAGACCATGAGACATACCAGATCAGGTTAGACCTTTACTGAGGACAGGAGACAGTGCCGCTTCTTGCCATCCCTTAGGGGTTGATGATTTCAATGTGGAACTGCAGGTGAGTGGCTGTGACTACACAGTGGCCCCGGAGAAGAGCACAGGTCTGGTAGTTGTGGCCTTGCCAGTGGTACTGGATCATGTAGATGGCATTGAGCACCTGGCAGTAACACCAGTGGATGTGCCACATACAGACCAAAGCCTGGAGCTTGACCACTGCCCTCTCTGTGTGTGCGTAGGAAATCAGGGCTGCCCTCCGCTTCTTCTGCCACAGCCTGTCCATTGTCAGTCTCCACCAGCACTGAATGATCCAGGCCTTGAGGGCTGCGTGTAACAATGTCTGGTGCACCAGGGTTCCACGCAACCAGGCCTGGATCTTCTCGGCTGCTTTTATTCTTTCTTTTTTATTTTTCTAGGCAGAGATAAGAGAGACCACTCAGGGAACTTCCTGCCACCAACTTCTAGGATATTCCTGGAAAGGGCCTTGATTCTTTTAATAGTCAGCCCTTCTTTGGAGACTTCAGGGGAGTTAGCAGGACACTAACTAAGAGGCAGAAGTCCTGGGTGGTGAGTCCTCCTCTGCCAACATGGACACATCACCTTACCCTCAGAGTCATAGCATCCTCCTCTTGACTACCTCACAGGTGCATGGATCAAGAGAAAAACCATTAGTAACTAGGAGGGTGCATTAAGAATGTGAGGGACTTAGTTGTACTCTACCTCTTTAGTGCTTATTGGGTTTTGGAGGTTTGGCCTCATAATGCTTTTGCCTGGTATTCTCTGCTAATTCTAGTCCCATTGGCTGATTTCTTTCTGCCACAACAGTGTATTTCAATATGGTGGTGAGTTTTTAACACCCTCATCACATATTCTACTCCCAGCCTCCCCATACTGTGAACATTCTACTTTCTAATTCAGAGTCCTCACATCCTCATCTCCCAGCTCATGCATTTCTTGATGGCTTTCCTTCTCGCCATTCACTCTTTGTGTCACAGTCAAACCCAGAGCCAGAGAGTTCATGCTGAGAAGGAAGTGAAGGAAAAATAAGCCAGTATTGAATTGACTCCTGATTACTTTAAACTCTGGATCCCTAAGAGGCACAATTCCACACCCTCATGACACTGACATAAATGTTCTGGATATCTGTTAATTATATGGAGATTTTACCTACCTCTTTTTTCTGCTGCTACTTCTGCTTCTGCTTCTTCTTCTGCTTCAACCTAATTTCGTCTTCGGAATCCTCAATCACAATTAAAATTGAATTGCCGTCTGTCTGTCATGAGAATTAAACGGGAAATGAATGGATGAGCTAAGAGTACCGTTTCTCTCTATGGCTCTGCACAAAGATACCCACTGCCTCAGCATCCTCTTTTTTCCCAAAAGCTGTGAAGTCCAGAGTGATTCCCACCCACCCTCAAGCCTGCTGAGTGGATCTGGCCATGTCTCTTACACAAAATCGAACCCCCATGGCTTGTCTCTAGATGGTTCCTTTATTTCTCTACTTCCCAAGGTCTGATGAGTAATATGAGGGGGAGAGCTATGAGTTAACAATTGCTTTATGACATCAGGATTAGGATATATGCCACATAAGTTGAGTCTTCCTCACAAACAAGCTCCATGCGAACTTGTATTACCTGTCCACTTCCCTTCTGTCAGAGACATATCCGAACTCAGAGTGGAAAGACAGGGCACTTGGGTGCCGTTCCTCCAGTGAGGTCCATCCACATCCTTTCTCATTATCAGTCACACAGGAGGGCAGGAGGGACCATGGCAGGATAGCTCCATACAGCTCTCTACTGTCTCTCAGACTTAGCACTTCCTGTCTTCCCTGGATTCAAGTTTCAGTACCTCAGTGTGCCATAGGAAACTAGAGAGACTAGATGAATCTAGAAAGCAGTAAAATAAAAAACAATCTTAAAATTAATTAAATAGAAAACAAAAATGAGTGGTGGAAGATAAATTTAAAAGCTGATATTTTTCAAATTACTTTCAAATTACTGCCTCTGTGCTGGGTCTCAGAGCGTGTGAGATTTTTCATGAGTGCTTTAAGAACAGTCTCTGTTTCCCACAGCCCTCCAGCTTTCCCCCACACAAGCCCCGCTGGACTTCAAAGCCAGAAATTCTGGGGGCTCATCATCCCGGTGCAGGATCCCCAGGCGAAGGAGCCCTGTGTGGGGCTCAGACCCCTCACTCCTTGGGGAGAACCTCTGTAATAATTATTATCCTTTTGTTTGTGGGTTGTCACCCTGGAGTGTGGGTCTTGACTATACTGACTCCATTCCTCCCACCCATCTCGTTTTGGTTCCTTCTTCATATCTTTAGCTGTGGAAAATCGTTTCTGCTAGTCTTTAGGTCATTCTCATAGATAGTCGCTTTGTAAGTAGTTGTAATTTTGGTATTCTTGTGGGAGGAGGTGAGCTCAGGGTCTACCTACTTCACCATCTTGGTCACATCTTCAGATTAGCATTTCTTAATGTTTATTGCCTGAGTTATTTATTACTATGATTATTTCTAAGCAGAGAATTTCTTTTTTAAAAAATTTTTATTGGAGTATAGTTGATTTACAATGTTGTCTTACTTTCAGGTGTACAGCAAAGTGAATCAGTTATATATATATATATATACACATACATATATATATATATATACACCTACTCCTTTTTTTTTTTTAAGATTCTTTTCCCATATAGGCCATCACAGAGTATTGAGTAGAGTTCCCTGTGCTACACAGTAGGTCCTTATTATCTATTTTATATATAGTAGTGTGTATATGTCAATCCCAATCTCCCAATTTATCCTCCCCTCCCCCTTATCCCCTGGTAACCATAAGTTTGTTTTCTACATCCGTGACTTTTACCTCTTTTTTTTTTAAATTCCACATATATGCGATATCATATGATATTTGTCTTTCTGTGTCTGACTTACTTCACTCAGTATGACAGTCTCTAGGTCTATCCATGTTGCTGCAAAGGGCATTATTTTGTTCTTTTTTATGGCTCAGTAATATTCCATTGTATATATGTACTATATCTTCTTTATCCATTCCTCTGTTGATGGACATTTAGGTTGCTTCCACGTTCTGGCTATTGTAAATAGTACTGCAATGAACATTTGCGTGCATGTATCTTTTTTTTTTTTAAAGATTTTCTTGATGTGGACCATTGTTAAAGTCTTTACTGAATTTGTTACAATATTGCTTCTGTTTTATGTTTTGGTTTTTTGGCTGCAAGGCATGTGGGATCTTAGCTCCCCAACCAGGAATCGAACCCACACCCCCTACATTGGAAGGCAAAGTCTTAGCCACTCAACCACCAGGGAAGTCCCCGCATGTATCTTTTTGAACTATGGTTTTCTCCAGGTATATGCCTAGGTGTGGGATTGCTGGGTCATGTGGTAGTTCTATTTCTAGTTTTTTAAGGAAAATCCATACTGTTCTCCACAGTGGCTGCACCAATTTACAGTGCCACCAAAAGTGTAGGAGGGTTCCCTTTTCTCCACACCCTCTCCAGCATTTATTGTTTGTAGATTTTTTGATGATGGCCATTCTGACTGGTGTGAGGTGATACCTCATTGTAGTTTTGATTTGCATTCCTCTAATAATTAGTGATGTTGAGCACCTTTTCATGTGTTTTTTTGGCCATCCATATGTCTTCTTTGTGGAAATGTCTATTTAGATCTTCTGCCCATTTTTTGATTGGGTTACTTGTTTTTTTGACATTAAGCTGCACAAGTCGTTTGTATATTTTGGAGATTAATCCCTTGTTGGTTGCTTCGTTTGCAAATATCTTCTCCCATTCTGAAGGCTGTCTTTTTGTTTTGTTTATGCTTTCCTTTGCTGTGCAAAAGATTTTAAGTTTAATTAGATGCCATTTATTATTTTTGTTTTTTATTTTCATCACTCTAGGAGGTGGATCAAAAAAGATCTTGCTGCGATTTATGTCATAGAGTGTTCTGCCTATGTTTTCCTCTAAAAGTATTATAGTGTCCGGTCTTACATTTAGGTCTTTAATCCATTTTGAGTTTATTTTTGTGTATGGTGTAGGGAGTGTTCTAATTTCATTCTTTTACATGTAGCTGTCCAGTTTTCCCAGCACCACTTATTGAAGAGACCGTCTTTTCTCCATTGTATATTCTTGCCTCCTTTGTCAGAGATTAGGTGACCAAAAGTGTATGGGTTTATCTCTGGGCTTTCTATCCTGTTCCATTGATCTATATTTGTTTTTGTGCCTGTATCATACTGTTTTGATTACTGTAGCTTCATAGTATACTCTGAAGTCAGGGAGCCTGATTCCTCCAGCTCCATTTTTCTTTCTCAAGATTGCTTTGTCAATTCGGGGTCTTTTTTGTATCCATACAAATTGTAAAATTTTTTATTCTAATTCTGTGATAAATGCCATTGGTAATTTGACAGGGGTTGCACTGAATCTGTAGATTGCTTTAGATAGTATAGTCATTTTCACAATATTGATTCTTCCAACCAAGAACATGGTATATCTCTCCATCTGTTTGTGTCATCTTTGATATCTTTCATCAGTGTCTTATACTTTTCTGAGTACAGGTCTTTTGCCTCCTTAAGTAGGTTTATTCCTAGGTATTTTATTCGTTTTGTTGTGATGGTAAATGGGAGTGTTCCTTTAACTATTTTTTCTAATTTTTCACTGTTAGTGTATAGGAATGCAAGAGATTTCTGTGCATTAATTTGTATCCTGCAACTTTACCAAATCCATTGATCAGCTCTACTAGTTTTCTGGTAGGGTCTTTAGGATTATCTATGTATAGAATCATGTCATCTGCAAACAGTGACAGTTTTACTTCTTCTTTTCCAATTTGGATTCTTTTATTTCTTGTTCTTCTCTGATTGCCGTGGCTAGGACTTCCAAAACTATGTTGAATAATAGTGGTGAGAGTGAACATCCTTGTCTTGTTCCTGATCTTAGAAGAAATGCTTTCAGTTTTTCACCATTGAGAATGATGTTTGCTGTGGGTTTGTCGTATATGGCCTTAATTATGTTGAGGTAGGTTCCATCTATGCCCACTTTCTGGAGAGTTTTTATCATATATGGGTGTTGAAGTTTGTCAAAAGCATTTTCTGCATCTATGGAGATGATCATATGGTTTTTATTCTTCAATTTGTTAATATGGTGTATCACATTGATTGATTTGCATATATTGAAGAATCCTTGCATCCCTGGGATAAATCCCACTTGATCATGGTGTATGATCCTTTTAATGTGTTGCTGGATTCTGTTTGCTAGTATTTTCTTAAGGATTTTTGTGTCTATGTTCGTCAGTGATATTGGACTATCATTTTCTTTTTTTGTGATATCTTTGACTGGTTTTGGTATCAGGGTGATAGTGGCCTCGTAGAATGGGCTTGGGAGTGTTCCTTTCTCTGCAATTTTTTTGGAAGAGTTTGAGAAGGATAGGTATTAGCTCTTCTCTAAATGTTTGACAGAATTCACGTGTGAAGCCATCTGGTCCCGGACTTTTGTTGTTGGAAGATTTTTAATAACAGTTTCAATTTCATTACTTGTGATTGGTCTATTCCTATTTTCTATTTCTTCCTGGTTCAGTCTTGGAAGGCTGTACCTTTCTAAGAATTTGTCCATTTCTTCCA